ATATGAAAGAACATAAATAGCATTTTTAAAGCAATTGACTGACTATATTCTAGACTCTTTCTCCTGTTATATGGTACAGGTTAAATATTCATAATCAGAGCATTATGCTATTATATCTTAATACTCATTTGTTGCCAGAATGCTGAGAGCCTTATAAGTAATAATGATAATAATAATGCATGGTCATTTCTAATTTTCTTCATTACTGTATTCTACTGTCTAGTTATTTAATATTTAATAATTCATATTTTGACAAAAGTTGAATAAGGGAGGTGAAGTACATTTGTTACATAGTTTGGTAAACATTTTGCAGTTGAACAGTACAATATTTCATATATTACATTTCTTTTCCACATTTGCAAAGATAATTGATTTTATTTTCAGATACATACCATAGAAACAAACATTACAGAATTGTCCCCTCCCATCCAGTCATCTGTGTTCATGCTGAACTGATGTTTTATCTAGTAAGTTTTATCCAAATTTTAAACTTGAGATATTGAGAACATTTTCTATAGTAATGTTTGGATTGCTTCCCTATCAGGTGGTTGAAGATTATGCTGGAAGATGGCAGGTCCCTTTGCCACAGCTTCAGGTTCTTCAGACTGCACTTTGTTGTTTTACATCAGCCAGTGCATCATTCCCAGATGAATGTGAGCACGTACAATATGTTTTGAGTAGCCTTGCTGTGTAAGTACTCTTTACTTCTTATAAACGCATTATTTTTCTTGATATATTTGAGAATTGGCTTTTGATTCTTTCTTTTGAGGAAGAAACCTTTCCTAAATTCTTTTCTCAAAAAGAAAATTTCATTTCTTCACTTAATTACCTAGGTTTAATTTTGAACATTTAAACATGGTTTTACTTTTAGTTTTAGAGTTACATGGAATTGTGACATACAGATTCTTGTGGTCACTACAAGCACTTTACTTTCCTTTTAGTTCTCCAGATTGCCTTGGCAAACTCTAATGGTAAGTCCCAGGATACAGCAAGTGAGGGCATGACAGTTAGCAGAGAAATCTTAAATCAGCCCAGAAAGAGGTTAGGAAACTCCTAGTTTTTAAAATCGCCTGTAGAGAACTTCAAATTAAAGATTACAAACTGAGTGCTTGTGCTTATCCTTTTCGCCCTCCTAGAAGCCCACAATATTATAGTAAAGAAGTAAAAGAGAGAAATAGTGAAAAGAAAGTAGAGGAAGGTTTTCAGTGAATGAAAGAGTTCCACAGTGTTCTGGGTGACAGAAAACGTATTATTTATTCTTACCTCAAATTGCAGACACCACAACAGTAGGTTGTGAAATAATTTATATCACCATCACAAAATGCAATAAAAATATCAGAGTACATCTCTTAAGATGAGTATTATTTTAATGAAACTCATTTATTTTTATGTATGTATATACTTGATTATTTGTAAAACATTTTTTTAAAACCTGGGTAGCACTTAAAACAAAATTATCTGTTGTCTTAGAGGAGGAAGCCTCCTGTCTGCCTTGCATCCCACCAGCCCCCACTGAGAGGTGTAGAATTTGAACGTGCAAGGTACGGAATAGAGTAGGGAATGAGATATTTTGGGATTATGTAGATAAAAGCGTTAATTGTAATTTTCCTNTAGAGTAGGGAATGAGATATTTTGGGATTATGTAGATAAAAGCGTTAATTGTAATTTTCCTGTTCAAGCCAATCACCAGGTTTTAGGGCCAGGGTGAGGTGGGGAAACAGTGTTACTACACTACTTTTTTTCCTCTAAAGAAATTAAACGACCCTGGAGCAATGACTTTTGTATTCTGGCATTTAAGGATTCCTCATAGAGACAGCTAGCTAATCACTTAATTACCCTAAAGAAAAACTAGCAAACTACAGACAAGCTCACAGGGCTCCCAATCACCTACTTAAGGCTTTATTTTTAAATATTAATGGATATCCAAGAATCACCAGACATTTGAAGAATGCCTTCAACATGAAAAAAATCCAAGAAAAATAACAGAAAAAAAAGTTCTGAAAGAAGTAGTGTTAATGTTGAAAACAGAAAAATTAAAAATCAAACGTAAAATCTGTAATTAGCATTTTCAGAGAGTTTTGAGAAGATATGTCTAACGTAAAACATTAATTTCATGCTGTGTTAAAAAGGAATAATGAGATACCAAAAATGAGTTTGAAATTAAGAGAATATGATGGTTCAAATTTAAAGTTTTGTAGGAAGGTTAGAAGATGTAAAGTTGAAGAAATAATCAAGAATGTAAAACAAAACCAAAGAGAAATTTAAACGAGTGTTATGTACATTGTGCTTCTTTAAAAATTGATTTGTGTATATTTAAAATCATAGGAAGGAAGGATAGTTTAGAATATAACATAATTTAGAGAGGGGCAATTTTTTTT